CTAAAGGTGAGCTGCACGTGTCGCCAGCCAACAGCCCACTGACACCACCGGTGACGGCTGCTGGCGTGTTCCGCGAGGATCGGGGTCGAATAACGGGGCAGCATATGGCAGAAGCGGCGTGAATCCGTCAGCGATGCCCCAGCCGGCCCGGTACCACGGCACGAACCAGCGCATTCGCGTATTATGCACACGGATCTGCATCGCCCATGTTCAATTACCGCGGAGTCACTGCACCAGCGACACGGACCGCATACGCGACCACGTCGCATGGATCGCGGTATTCGGCAGGTGAAGCCAGCGCCAGCGCAACAGTCGGACCGGCGATTTCTGGTAGCGACCCAAATGCTCCTCGCCAGCACCTGCAGGCCATGCCCGGCCTGGGTGTGGCATGTTTGAGCCGGTGGTGACTGCGGCGCCGACTAGCGGAGCGTGGTCGCCTGCCCAGGTTCCGGTGACTACACGGCCAATGTCAGCCACAACGCGTCTAGACGGACGTCGATATCGCCAGTACTCACTGCGTGCAGCCAGCAGGCTACCACATTGCCAATCTACCCGACGATGGTGATTCGATTCGTCTGATTCATCAGGAACGAGTTTGGCGGGCCGCGGTTGTGCGAGTATCGTTCCCGAGACTCAACGACGCAGCTGGTGTTCCCAATATTAACACTGCTGTTAGTCGGGAGTGCGGCCAGCATCTGACGTGGTGGCGACCGGTTGTCTGTGGTCAATGTGTCGCCCAGTGCGCTCGATGTATCGGCGTCCCGAGTTCAGTCAGCGAGTCCGCGCGCAGCATTGCATCGCCACATACTGCCAAAACCCCTACTGTCCAAGAGGACCTGCCGTCGCCACAGGGTCGGGCCGAAAGGACGGGCAAGGGCGCTCTAACATGTCGCAGGAGAAGCTACTGTCGGCGTTTGGCTCGGATCTGGGCGATCTATCGAGTAGGAGGCCAGCGCACCTGCGCCATTCAAAATCCCCGTCACTGCCGATTTCCCTGAGTTCATTTAACTCGTCATTGCATGGTTCGTCCGAGGATATGGCCAGGAAACCTCAACACCCACTGCAGCAGGAACAGCAGCCACCCCCGATGCCGGTGCCAGCAGCCGACTGGTCGGTGTGGGATGCAGAGGAGATTGAGGGGCGACGAAGGCGAATCTGCCTGCCAGCAGCGATGAGGATTTGATGGGCAACGCAGACCCAGTAGTGCCGTCGCCCGAGTCGGTGGAGTTTGATGCTGAACCGCTGGTATTTGATGCAGAGTCGATAGTGACATTCGATGCAGAAGAGGTGAGTGAAGGGAATGACGGGAGCGAGCCGCGCAGGACCTCAGAGGATTCGCTTGCGTCAGACTACGACCTCATGGGCAATGCTGACGAGGTTCCCGAACAGTCAGCTCTAACAGAGTCGGCCAGCCGGCACAGCAATGGCGCTCTGCCGATAATCGTTTTTGATGCGCAGAGGTTGAAGAGAGCGAGGATGCAGACAACGCCAGTGATGCTGGCTCGGATGCGTCATCTGTGCACATTGATGCATATGATGCCGATCCGGTTGTAGCACCGTTGACAGCAGATACACCTGGCGTCCTCGGCCCTGCCGGTGCCTGTTTATGCATGGAATCCAGCGCAGCAGGCGCATGTCGGCACTGGGAAGGAACGAACGCAGGAGCAGCTTGCAGCAATGGCGAATTCGCAGAGCCAGTCGGCGCTGTGCATTCGCCCGCACTTTTTGCCAGGGCATCTGCCGTTCACGTCCTCCAACAAGTCCGCTGGCAATAGCGAGCTAGCAGCAGAGGCGGCATCCTCAGGGTCGGCGTTCAAGGTGAAGGGTGTCCGTCATGTGCTATCGTATGGGGCAGATATCGACAAGATGGCAGCTACTCTGCTGTCATCGAAGAGCAAATCGGCGAGAATCACTGCAGCCAACATTGCTGCAGTCATGGAGCAGCAACAGCAGCATGCTGAGGATGCTTCCCCATTGGACACCGACCAGCCTGCTACTATTGCTTTCTTGGCATCGTCGCCAACCGCGGTTTTGCCCAGACCTCGCAAGCCAGGAGCTGCGAATGAGAAAGGACAGGCATTCTAGTCGGATTTCAGGATTGTTTGGGTTTGGGCAGCGCACGCCCAAGCATCAGACACAAGCCCAGCAGGCAGGCGGCAGTCTGCGTGTAGTCACCGATCTACAGTCCCTGCGCGGAGCTTCTTCTAATGGCAGCCAGACCGTCAACACCTCAATGGCAAACCATGCCAGTATCAACACCGGACCGTCTTCGTCAGACAGCCAAAAGAAGAGCGGCTCACCGTCGACGGTTTCACGGCGCTGGCGCTTCCCGTTCCAAAAGGCACGTCCGGCAATTCCTATTGAGGACGCCGACGCGGCAGCAGCCAGCGATCAGGGCGGCAACGACAGCGAGGCTGCTACCCCATCGCCGCTAGACACAGCTGCCAGGCGCACATTGCGGCAAAGCAGATACCGTGCAGGCACAACCAGCGACATCGAGTCGCCGCAGACAGCCAGCAGCGCAGCAGCGCAGCTGTCGGCAAGCCAGTCGCGGCCCTACAGCATGGTAGAGAGTGGCAGCAGCGCCGTCAGCCCTGCATCGGCGACCACCACTGGTAGCGGCAGCAGCAGCGCTACATCTCGCGGCCTCCGCCAGGCGCCGCCGCAGCTAGCAACCTCGAAGAGCTTCCTCAGCACGCAGAGCTCCAGTTCGCAGCGGGCGCGAGCCATGCATATGCTGCAGAGCACGTCGCCGATTTCGCCGCTAATGGGGCATATGCTGAAGCCGCGGCGGCGGTCGAGTGCAAACACAGGCGCTGGATGAAGCCGAGAGCAGCGGGTCGTCGATGCGGATTGTGCTGGCCAAGCGCGAGCGTGACCGTGGGTTTATGCCCGTGAATATTAACGGGCTGATTTCAGGCGCCGGCATCGTCGAAAAGATCGTCAGCTCACTATACGCCGACACATCACACGTGCCGCCGCCGCCGCCACCGCCTGGCGGGTGGTCCATGTCACTGCAGATGAGCGACGGGTCAGTGAAGCGCATTGGCTCGGAGGGCGAGCTGTGGATGCACTGCGTGCACGCAAAGACCGACACACCAGTGGTAGTAATCCTGAATGACCCAGTTGCTGACGAGGCGGGTACATTGTACAAAGCCAGCTCGTCTGGCGCGGAGCACCACATTATTCCAGCTAGCAGGGCTGGGTCGAAGCAGCGGCTGGTGCTGGCAGTCACAGGCGGCGAGCGGTCGTCGTCGGGGTCCGACTCCGAAGTGCAGTCAGCGTTCCCGTTCAATCGCACACCATTCATGCAATCGCCAGTGGTAAATGATGGTTCGAGCAACATGCTGCCGCTGGTGACGACGAGTCCGTCTCATATGCGCGAGGTGATGTCGCCAGGCAGTGATGTGTCATCGCCCAACACGGCTGGATCATCGAGCCAGTCATTTGCTACAGCAAACGTCCGCATTTGCCACTAACTCAACGCATCGAATCGTCAGCGCCTGAGATGCCTGTGGGCGGGGGCGCAGAAGCTTCTGGACGGTCGCCAGCGCAGCCCGAGTCGTGGACGCTGATGTTTGTTAACAAAGAGTTCTCTGCTACCAAGAAGGAGCCTGCAGAGACAGAAGAGCCTGTAGAGACGGAAGAGCTGGAGGCAGAGCCAAGCAGCGCCGGACTGGCGATCGGGTCATTTGTCAGCTCTGATTCGGGCCCAGTGCTTTTGACACAGAGCCAGCTTGTGGCAGCGACCAAGGCAGCCGACCAGGAGGGGAAGGAGGAAGAGATAGCTCGACGCTCGGTTGTGTTTGACGCGGAGTCGATCGAGGGGGACGGCGAGGAGGATAGTGGCGATGACGCTAGCTCGTTTGGTGGCGATTTGTGGGACCGCTCTGAGTCAGAGGACGAGGCGGCAGATGACAAGGACAGGTCGACGAGCGAGAAAGAGCCTAAGGGTAAAAACAAGAAGGAGCGCCCGCAGAGCAACTTCAAGTTCACGCCCGGCATGCGCAAGGCCCTGCTGGAGCGCCAGCCTTCACGCAACCTGCGCGACCGTCCGACAGCCGATGCCATTGGCGAGCACCTCGACCGGTGGTTCCCTGACCACGACCTTGACAAGCCGATCATCCAGGCAGTGCCAATCGACAGCGGGCTGTTGCCATCGCAGGAGCTGAACATCATTGTCGATGACGAGGCGGCTGGCAGCAGCAACAGCAGCAACAGCAACAGCAGCAACAGCAAGTCGAGCGCGCGGCAGTCGCTGGAGATGCTGGTCAAGAACCGGCAGGTTAGCGAGGTGCGGGAGGCAGCGCTAGGGCGGCGTAAGAGCGTGCGGATGCTGGTGCAGGAGACGCGGCAGAGGCGGCGCAAGTCGAATCTGTCGACTGAGCTGGCCGAGCACCCGCTGCCACTGTCGCATAAAAGCTCGCTGCTGTCATTAGTGTCCACTAGCGAGGCAGCATCGGCTAATTTGGGCGCCAATGCTGAGGCTTCTTGGAGGAAGACAGCAGGTCAGTGTATTCTCTGCCACAGGCTATTGTCAGGCGCAAGTCGACCAAAATGTGGGGGTGCATTCCAGAGGAGGTCCGCCCCCGACGGCACCGGGCCAGGCAGATCGCCGGCGTTACCTCGGCGGCGGCGGTGGCGGCGGCGCCAGAGATGCCCCAGCATAGCAACGATACACTGATTGGGTCGTCGTCGTCGACGGTTGCAGCGGCAGCCGCGGCTAATGCCGACGAATCGGGCGCCTATGAGGGCGAGACGATCTCGCCATCATCGACGACGTCGACGGGCAATAATGCCAGCGGGCAAGTCAATGTGGAGATTGTGCGGCGCGCGCTGTCGTACCTGCGCAAGCCCGCGGCGGACCCGCAGGCAGAGAAGGCCATTGTCGAGGCGGCGATCAAGAGCGGCGACCACAGGGCTGTGGGGTCGACCCGGGCGCAGTTTGTGCATGAGCGCGACCGGCTGCGCGGGCTGCCCAAGGCCACGGAGCTGTGGGATGCGTTGCCCGAAGCGTCGTCGTCGTTGTCATCGTCATCGTCGGTCAAGGACGCGGTTAGCTCGCTGTTTGCCAAGTGCGGGCTGCCGCTGACGCAGATCAAGATCCAGTGGATCAAGGGCCAGCTGATCGGAAAGGGCTCGTTCGGGCACGTCTACGTGGCCATCAATGCTGCAACCGGCGAGGTCATAGCTGTGAAGCAGATTGCGCTGCCCAAGTTCCTGTCGCCAATGTCCGATGAGTCGGCTGCGGGCGGTAGCAGCGCCAGTGGTGGTGGGGCTGGCAGCGACAAGGCAGGCATGGAGGAGGCGATTCGCATGATGCACACGGAGGTGGAGCTGCTGAAGGACCTGGACCACGAGAATATCGTGCAGCTCCTGGGGTTCGAGATCACAGGTGGGCTGATGAGCATGTTCCTCGAGTACGTGCCCGGCGGCACGGTGCACTCGCTGGTGCAGCAGCACGGGCCGCTGCCCGAGCCCGTGGTCCACTCGTTCCTGAGGCAGATTGTGGCCGGGCTGCAGTACCTGCATGACCGCGGCATCCTGCATCGGGACATCAAGGGGCCCAATATTCTGGTAGACGAGACGGGCACCTGCAAGATTTCGGACTTTGGCATCTCGCGACGCGTGGACTACGACCCAGCGAGGCAGCAGGCAGCGGACGACAAGAAGAAGCAGCAGAAGAACCTGCGGGCAGTGGGCACGGTGCCGTTTATGGCGCCCGAGGTGGCCCGCAAGCACGTGTATTCGGCTGGGGCAGATATCTGGGCGCTCGGCTGCGTGACGCTGCAGATGTGGTCGGGGCAGCAGGCGTGGGCTGGGTACCAGGAGCCTCAGATCTTCTTCAAGCTGGCCAATGGGCTGGCGCCGCCGTTCCCCGATGATCTGACCGAGGCGGGGTTGGAGTTTTGCAAGCGGTGCTTTGTCAGCACGCCTGATAAGCGCGCGGCAGCTGCGGAGCTTGCGGACATGGAGTTTGCGCAGGTGCCGAATGACTACGTGTATCCGTACACGAGCTAAGGGGTGGGAGCTGTTTTTTTCCATGGGGGGGTTTTTTTGTTGCAATATCAGCAATCGCATATCAATTGGCCGACTAACTCGCATAGCCCAATTGTGTTTATGCCAATACGAGTGCGTGGTTTCTCTGTTCAGAGTTCGTTTGCGCAGAGGTCACTGGCATCCCTATTTTTCCACTATGCAGTGAGTGAAAAAAAAAAAAAGGAAAAGGAGGCAGGGGAGCCACAGTGGGACGTGATGGCAAGCCGTGTGACCTGACGGTACTCTCTGGACGATCAGGCCAGGTGAGGAGGGGGATGGGTGGAGTAGGGAGAGAGAGAAAAAAAAAACGAATTTCAAATAGGCGTGGAGGGTTTTTAAAACAGGGGGTGTTGACGGCTTTTCTTTTTTGCTTTCGTTTTTTATTTCTAGCTTCTCCTTGTTTTCATTTGCTTTGCAGAGCTCTTTCTCCTGCCCCTTCCTTCTTCTTTAAAAGTCTATAATTCGTGGGTTATTTGCAATGTCGTTGTCGGCTTCGTCGTCAAACAAGGAGCTTGTGAGGCGCATGGTTGTGCTGGGATATCGTGGAGTAGGCAAGTGATAGTGGGGGCGCGGGCTAAGCAGGCGGAACTGGGTCTCAGTGCCAGTGTAACTAATAGCGTACATGTAGGCAAAACGTCGGCTATCCACCGGTTCCTCGAGGACGAGTTCATTGAGATGTACTATCCGACAGTGGAGCTCGTGCACGACCAGAAGATCTCGGTGGGCGGCGTAGAGTACGAGGTGCATATTATCGACTCTGCGGGCCAGGTAAGTTAACAATATCCTTTGCTTGATTGTTTTTTTTCTCACACTAGCCGGGGCCATTTTTTGTATTTATTTTTTATTGATAAGATGCTTTGTTTTATATTAGGACGAGTTTTCGCTGCTGGACACACGGTACGCAGTGGATATTGACGTGTACGTGATTGCGTTTTCGGTGGTGGCGCGCAAGAGCTTCGAGATGGCGCGGATAATCCGCGACAAGATCCTGGATCTGACGGGCACCGAGTCGGTGACCATGGTGCTGGTGGGCAATAAGATTGATCTCAAGGACCAGCGCACGGTCACGTACGAGGAGGCCGAGGCGCTGGCCAAGGAGTTCGGGTGCCCGTATATCGAGACGTCGGCCAAGACCAACAACAACATCAGAGAGCTGTTTGTCAAGTCGGTCTCGGAAACCACCAAGCAGGAGGGCGAGGCGGCGGAGAACGCCGAGGGCAGCAAGTGCGTTATTATGTAAACTAGAAAGCCGCCCACGGAAAAGGCAAAAGGCAGAAGGCAGACGGTGTTTTGTCTTTTGTGGAGGGGGCGGGCTTGCATCGCGAGCGCGGGATTTCTAGTTGTTATGTAAATGAACTACAAAAGAAAACAACAGGACCCGTTTGTTTGGAGACGCTTTGCGTGATTGCCGCTTTGCAAAGAAAGAAGCAGGATTTGTAACCCAGCCACAGGCGTGGTAAATGGCGGGCATGCCTTCAGTCCATCGACGCGTAGTTGTACTCGGGATCGGCGGCAGGCTGCGGCGAGTGCTCGATCAGCAGGCGCAGGATGTCGGTCAGGCTGACCACGCCGCAGACGGTGTCGGTGAAGGCGCCGGCAAAGTGCGGCGGGGCAATGGGCACGGTCTGCGAGGACGACGAGCTGATGGACGCCCGGCGCGCCGACGCCGTGGACCCGCTCCGCTGGCGCGCCTGGGCGGGCAGCTCCCCGGCGTCGCTGCCGGCGCTCGGACGGGTGACCCACACGCGGTGGGCCCCCGTGGCAATGAGCTTGCTCAGCGCATACCGCAGCGACGCCTCGGGCCGCACGGAAAACACCGCGGCGCGGTCGCGGCCGTCCTGCAGCCCCTGCATGTAGCGCACGCTCTGGATCAGCTCGATGCACGTGCCGTTCAGCAGCTGCTTGTTCTTCACCACGTACTTGATGTCGGTCACCGACAGGTTGCCCACCAGCCGCTGGTTGTCCTCCACAATCGCCACCGACGAGATGTGCCAGCGCTCCAGCAGGCTCAGCGCCTGCAGCACCG